TCCTGAACAACTTCTATTAAGTGACTTTTATCGATTTACTTAATAGATTTTTGACTTTTATATATAGAAACTACTTCTAGATTTTGAAAAATTATCAGAAGTAGCTTATTTTCGAAATTACAAATTTTTCTATATTTCTTCTTCAAGAAAAAAGGGGGTAGCTTATTTTCGGAGGTGGCTTATTTTCGGCAATATACAGTAACACCAAAAAAAAAAAAAAAATTGTAAAAACTTGTGCAAACCAGATAATCTTTTTTTAAATAATGCTTTGACTATATTTTATTTTAATATATACTATGGCTTATTTAAAACATATAAATCAGAATATTTATATATATAGCCAATTTTCAAATACAAATAGTCTTCTAGTTTACCTTCTACAAATAAAGAGCTAGTCGATGATTCTAATACTATCAACTTACAAAATGCAAGTGATGATTATAACTTAGACTATAGTAACAATAATTATAATTTAGATCTTTCTACTTATAATTTAGTTCGCAGTTCTACTTATACTATTTCACAATATGATACTGCTAGATGGGTAGAAGATCATACCACTTCACTTTACCCAAATATAATAACTGATAATGACTAGCTATTTCAAATGAAGATCCTATTTCGTTTAGCTCTATACACTCTATTTCTCAATATGATATTAGACAATTAGAAGAATATATTAATTCAAATTACTCATCTACAAAACAAAAAATGTTGTAAAGAAAGAAATAATAGCTCTGCTAATTTAGATTCTGAATATGTTGATGCTAGCGACTACCAATTGCACCAACTATACTTACTAGATATTTATAATCACCCTGATAAGTCGTCTATACTGGCAAATATTGTTAAATCATTTATAGGCGGATCTAAAGATGATGATAAATATAGAGTTAAAATTATATTTCATGTGCATTTATCACCATGAATTGAAAAACACGGTGAACCAGTAATACTAAAGTATATGCATATAAATATATTAAAGCTACAATTTAAATCCAATTTAAGAAAATAAATATTGTTACTTGCATTTACTATATTGGCAGATTTAGATATTTTTATAATTATAACATTATTAATTTTTAAAAATATAAATAAATGCTATTAGGGCCATGACAGATATTACGTAATATCCATTTACTATGAGGGTACCCCCCCTCCCCCACATAAGACAATTCTGATTGGCTGATTT